TTTTCTTTTTTGTTTTAAATGATCCACATGTGTTTTACATCACAAAATAAAACTTCTGAGAGACGAGGGAACAAAGAAGACAGCTAGAAGTAATATATTATATTACCTGAGGTACCCACACTCTAAGAGCTTTATCCCATTTGTACCTAGTTCCGTCATCATCAGTGAACTCATCTTCACCATCTGGAGGAGTTGAAGGCCTTTGATCCTCATCGACTGCTTGCTCGTCCTCTGCCTCTTTCACTTCCTTTTGAAACTTTTCATACTCATCAAATGGATCATTAGAAGTCAAAGGAACTGCAAAAACAGGTAACAGACGTCTCAGCCAAATGCCATATAGTGTTAAGTTATTACATTTCTGCAGGTTCACCTCTTAAGCGATGAATCCCTTACCTGAATTTGTACCACCAGTGCTATGCTCAGGTACATCAGTCAGCAATCCAGGAATCGAGCAAAGTGGCTGCCATTCACTCCTTCCTTCCGACCATGCTAGTGTACTCTCCAGTAGGTATCCAGCAGAGTAGTGCTCTGTCCATGTCAAGGAAACAAGCTTAAAAATCTCCCAACATACCATCTGAACATCATACAGCTGAATACAACAGTTAAAGATAAAGGCTAATAGTTACGGGTGCACTGAAACTTCAAAAACATAAGGAAACAAAGACAACAAAATAGAGAGCCAGAAGGCATACAACTCAAATGAACACCTAAATAAATGAACAAAACCATCAAAGACGAACTCATCCAATTTAAACAAGGAAATCACTAGTATCAGTTCCTCTCGATAAGCAATCATTCAATAAGAGGACGGTAAAATGTTTTTCATATACTCATTGAAGAGTGGGAGTTTAGGAACTCACCACGCAATTCAGATATTGTATACGGGCCTAGTTGCTGTTGATCTTGCACAAGCACATACCAACCCAATTCAGAACTCACTCCAGAAGTTGTATACAAACTACTGTTGCCTTCACCTACACCAGAAATACAAGAATCAAACTTCTTTTCTTCACCCTATGAAGCACCCAGCATGCATATTTGCAGAATCCAAACATAATGCATCCCACCCACCAAGAGAACCCCAACCCCCAAAAGGAAAGGCAACATGAAAAGAAGCACATAATGAAAACTCATACTAGTATTTAAATATTTGAAAATTTGAATTTGAAAGTCTTTCAAGAAGTCACATAAGATTGTACAACAACAACAAAAACTGTATTTGAAAATTTACTACTTGAAAAACATCAAACAAACTGCACATAAGATGGTACAACAACAACATACCCAGTGTAATGGGGTCTGGGGAGGGTAGAGTGTATGCAAACCTTATCCCTTCCTTGGGAGGTAGAAATGTTGTTTCCGAGAAACCCTCGGCTCAAGGAAAGGCAATTTAAAGCAATTTGAAATGTCACATAGGATTGTAAAACCTAAAAAAACTCCCAGGGTTTTACTCTAGTGGTAGGAAACACATCATGGGTTCGCAACGTGCTGCAGACAAAACATCCGGTATTTAAGTGGAGAAGGATTCGGTTATCAAGAAAACAATTGCCAAACCTAAAAGGAATGTCTATGCCTATAGTTAATCCTATTGTCCATGACGACATATTAATATTAAGCACAATCTTCACCAAAATTTCCAACTGCCTTTATTACTTCCAATCCTTATAGTTTTTCTTTCATAACACTTTAAAAAAGCAATAATTTTCCTAACATCGATAAATTTGAGAAATCCTCCTACTATCACTGAGAAGAAAAACAGTATCTGAAATAACAATTTATAATAATCCAAGTATAGCTTCTATCCCTCCAAATGAGAAAAATCAGTCGACCCATTTAAAATTATAATATGATACTCGAAACCCATCTCCTAAAATACAGAAATAACACAAATACAAAAGCATAGCTCTCAATAAACAAAGGTACACACATACTGGGTTTGAAAAAAAGAAACCAAATTGCACATATAGAGACTACAACTGACCCGTATAAGACGTTTGTGGTAATTGTTCTTGTTGAGGAAGATGATCTTCAGAGGCATTCAATGATGCCATTTAATTTGCTTCTCTCCAGTTTTCTGTAGTAGCTTCTTCTTTGTGCTGCTGCCTCTTCTTCGTTTTCACAGAAAAGAACTGTATAGGAAATGCATAAACAAATAGTTCAGGGAAATTCGGGTCGGATCTTTGAAATCGGTGCAAATAGTCCGGGTTTAATGGATTTAGCAATATGGGTTTGGGAGGTTGGAAATAATATTGAATTTTTTCGTGGTTTACGATATGGGTAACTTGGCGAAATTTTACTACTTTAAAAGCAAATTAGTTAGATTCACGTTAATTTGTAAAATATTACATATCTTATAATTTTTTGGTCCTCTATACATATCAATTAGTAGTGTGTCTAATCATATATCATAGCATATCATTTATCATATATCATATCATATATATATATATATATATATATATATATATATAAAAGAGAACCTTAGGTCCGCCTACGTGGCATCACTACAAACTAGAATTTCCTTTTAATTTATTTATTTACAAAACTAGTCTTCCCCTTTCATGAAAAGTTGTGACTTTTATGAAGAGTTGCAACTTTTATGAATAGTTGCGATTTTTATGAAAAGTTGTGACTTTTATGAAAAGTTGCGACTTTAATGAAGAGTTGCGACTTTAATGAAGAGTTGTGACTTTTATGAAAGGTCGTGACCTTTCCAAAGGGTTGCAACTTTTCCAAATAGTTGTAACATTTTCGATAAGGCACAATAAACATTTTCTCACACTACCCTTTGTTGTCTATAAATAGAGGGATTTCCTCTCATTTTAAAACAACAAAAATTTTGAACCTGTTCTTCTTCTTCTTCCTCTTCACAATAAATATTTGTGTACTTTGCTCATGTTGAGTGACTCATTGACACCATTGCTTATGTTACAGATCTTCGTATGTATTTTTATAGTCATTTATTTATGCTTATGTTATTAAGGATAAATGATAAAATGTAATAATTTTCATTTTCCTTTACATTATTAATGTTTGTTACTACATAATCTTGTATGTAAGATAATATAGTGTTTTATTTTTTATGAGTAGTAGATTTTAAGTATTATTTTATAAATTTCATGATTCCCACGCGAAACGCGGGTAATTTTACTAGTTAAATAATATAACTGAAAGTCATTAAATAATGAGTGTGTCTGGTTAAGGGATATAGCTGAAAGTCATTTATTAATGAGAAAATCGTATGTGTAACAACTTTAGAAGATGTGACATATCACAACTCTAAAAAAATCAAAACAATTTTTTTTTTTTTTTTTTTTTTGTGATTCAATAAAATTTAGGCTTTTTAATTCAAATTTATGAACACATATTCATATATATGCATATATTTTGTCAGATACATATATAGTTAATCGGATACATTGATAAAATATATTGTGTAACTCAATGATGTGTCATATACATCAATAATATGCCAAATACATGCGTAAATCTCTAATATACATATACATTTAATTAGATATACTGATAAAAATCAGATAGTCTTAATTCAATAACATGTTAGATACATCAATAACGTGCTAGATACATGCATGAATCTCGTTTATTGAAACTTTTCGGTTACATTCCTCACTGATCCGACATCTCACCAGAGTGGTGTCTGCTTCACATTTTGGTTTGTCGTTGTTGCTTGTTGCGCCTAGTCAATCTAAGAGTCTCGCTCTAGGTCTAGTTATCGCATAAGGGTTCGCTAGCAGAGCTATGCTGCTCTGAGTTTTGCATAGCTAACGCTACCATGACGCTACACTGCGCTTGCACTGACATGACTTGCAAACAACGCTGACGTAACTCTTCTAGTCAGAGAAGAGTTCAGTTGTGAACCTCTGCACTCTTATCCTATTGTTGCTTTTATCACGATAGGCTTTCTTTTCCTCTGGCTACTAAGATCTTTGAGTTCGCCTGGTTCTCTCTTGCCTGCCTATGGATTCAACAACAGTTCGAAAGGTTGCTCTAGAGTGCCCTCCTCCGCCATAGCCACTAAAAAATTGGTTTTTTCGTCTCCTCGACTAATAAAGTTTGAAGACGGAGATCCTTAAATCGCTTCTGAAGTTCATTATGCACCCGAACACGCTGCAAATTTCTCTCAATGTGTTATTTGCCTATCAAAATTCGCTCGGAGGTTAAATTCAAGTGCTATCGTAATGTGGCCATGAATTTCATGTGGGATGCATTAATACATGGTTAGGCTTGCACTCGTCGTGTCCTCGTCGGCTTGTGGATTTGAGTAATGATTAATTAGATACAAATCTGAATATGTAATGCATGTTTTTTCATATATGGTTTTTAGAAATTTAATGGTGAAAATCGTAATGGAAGGAAGGAAGAGAAAGAACAGTGATGGAAGACGTGCGTGAGAGGCTAAAGAGAGAGGAAAAGTTGATTGACAATGAAAGCCTTAATTTGAGGTGGTTTAAATATGCAAATAACTTCTAGGTTACTAATAATTAGTAGTAAGACATATTGTTTAAAAGTATAAATAATATTAGTATATATGATAATGAAGTATGTTTAATTAAGTAATTCTGCCCTTTTTAACTGTATTTCAAAAATCGTAAACACAAGCCTTTTCATTTGTTGAATAATTATTTTTCATAGCAATACAATCTTTAACATTTTTCAAATGATCTAATGTTTACTTTGTCATCTAATTAAATTCAATTCATACAATATAAGATCTGTTAAAAAAAACTCTTCTTATTAATTTTACCTTCACAACTCGAACCCAAAAATTCTAATTTTATAATAGTTACAGTACTTACCAATTCTACCATAAATTTTTGATGATTAGTTGATTGGTAATAGTAATACATGTAACGCAAAAAAAAAATTAAAAAAATTCTAGAAATGCTTTGAGTTGACGACCCGTAATTATAACCCGACCCGTATTTCCAACCCGACCCGCTGATGTAATACCCTAAACCCTGGCTTTAATGGCTTCTTCATCACTTCCCTGGCTTCACACCATTTCTGTGTGATCAAAGATGAGCTGCAGAACGACGACGTTTTGGACCCGGATACTCCGCAATCAACTGCGGTTCACCAGTAGTAAGCCACCATCTTCCGCCGCCGGCGCAGCCAAGGAACCATTTTTCCGGCACCCATTTCCGCCGCATTCCGTACTAACTCCTCGTTTCTTCTCTACGGCGTCCTACAACCGGACACCGTCAGCGGAGAGGGTAATTCAAGAGTTGTTGCTTGACGTGGAAAGGGACAAGCAAAGGGAAAAGGAAGAAAGAAAGAAGAAAGGATTAGATACAGCTGATATTGATGCTGAGGAGAATGAGGATTCCATGGGTGTTGGTCCATTAATTGAGAAGCTTGAGAAGAAGAAGCTCAAGGAGGAGAAATTTAGCTTTGAGCCTACGGATTCGGATTCGGAAGATGATGATGAGAGGTGGACTCCTGATGCTATTAACAAAAAATGGGAAGTTTTTGATAAGAAGTTTAAACGACATGAAGAGCTTCTCAAGAACTTCACTGATGCAGGTACAATGATTTCATTTTCATTGAATCCCTTTTGAGACATCAATGGTTGAAGTAGAATGCAAAGATTTGATTTCCCCTCCGGGGTCGTTTGGTAGCTAGTAAAGAAACAACTTATCCCCATATTAGTTTTTGCATGAGTCGTACAATGTTTGGTAGCTACTTAGAAACTAAATTACGCATTTGGTTTGCAATTTAGAAACACCTATAACTAATACATGGGTAAGTTATGAGAGAATTTGTGTATTATCTTATGCGGGGTAAAGAAATGGAATAACTAATATCTTCATTACTAGTACCTACATAATTCTAGTCGGCTACCAAATGACCCCTAAGTGGTTATTAGCTTATTTACATCCTAAGAATTCACATAGGAGAGAAGGCACAAAATAATGTTAGTTTATTAACACTGTGAAAGCGTGATAATTGGTGGGATTGGAAAGTTAGCCTCAGTTTTTTTTGTTGTTTATAGGATGGAGGTGAGCAATATGGCTATAGTGTCTGTTACTTTTAGTTAATGTAAATGTTAGTGGAAAGGTTTTGGTTGGGGTTTATTAGATAGGTTGGTATATGTATGGAAAAAGAATAACATACTGTTAGAACTATGTTTGTCTGTGCATATGTATGTGAAGTTCAACTATGTGAACTGACTTGCAAAACCAATTGAAAGCATTTTGTTGTCGAATTGGAATTGACAAATTATGGAAGTTTTGACCAGAGACACTTGATGATGCATACAAATGGATGAATAGAATTGACAAGTTTGAGCAAAAGCATTTCCGGCTGAGACCAGAGTATCGGGTGATTGGTGAACTGATGAACCGCCTTAAAGTGTCTGAGGGTAAGGAAAAATTTCTTCTGCAGCAGAAGGTGAATAGGGCCATGCGAATGGTGCAGTGGAGGGAAGCTTATGATCCCAACGACCCAGAGAATTACGGACTTATTCAACATCAGCAGGTGGGACCCTCTGTAGATCTTTTAGAACATGCTGGGTTTGAAAAGGAAAAGGGGATGATTCAAGGAGGAGATGATGATGACGACATAGAGTTTGATGACATGAAAGAGAAGGATGATATATTGTTAGAGAAGCTCAATGCCATTGACAGGAAACTTGAAGAAAAGCTGGCTGAATTGGACCACACCTTTGGGAAAAAGGGTAAGCTTTTAGAAGAGGAAATCAGAGATCTTGCTGAAGAGAGGAACTCGTTGACAGAGAAGAAAAGAAGACCTCAATACAGAAAAGTAAGCACTAACTCTTACCCTGGTCACTTAGCCCTAGATAAGTCTCTCACAAATTTTCTTGTTTCTGAATTCGGATTATTAAGCATTCCTTTTCATGGCATGCATTGTTTTGTCATCATCCTGAAAGTGTCCTACTTTACTAAAAACTGCTGTCAGATTCTCCCGGCAGTGCTACAAACGTGCTGAACTAGATTTAAATTTTGATTTGTCTTGTTTCATTGTGTCAGAGTTTTTTCTTGCAGTATGAAACTTTCTGCTCCATTCATTTTCTGGAAAATTTCATCCCTTCTTGAGCCTCAGGTTGTGTTTCTAATAAGTATTGGGCTGATGGATTTCTCAAAAATAAAATATGTTTTTGTTTCTTTGAATAGAAAAAAGACATTTCGAAATGAGTGAAAGTATTGGTTTTACTTTCTTGCAAATGGGACTTAACTTTTGGGAAGTTGTTTCAGGTGGAGAATTCTAATATTTATCCTGCTAATTTTCTGTTAATAAAATGAGAAGTTACAAGAAGCATGTTGTTGGTACCAAATACTTCGAGGCCAGACTCATACACCACATGTTCACATGTCTGATCGCTTCATAGTATATAGAAGGAATAGCATTTAACTAATCACTTTTCTTAAAAGACTTAAGCTTCTTGGTTTAATTTCCCTGGATGGCTTCCTTGAAATGATTGTGGTGTTTCTTTCTTACAAAATTTGGCAGTACTAATTATGATTTTGTTTTGGTTGTGTTCTTCATTCTGTTAGCGGAACAGGTTAATATTAAAAATCAATGTTATTTTGATAGAATTTGCTTGAGGTTGGCATGTTATGGAATTTTCCTAAGCTGTATTGCAAGAAAGAGAATCTTATTAGTTAAAGGTTAGACCCCAATCTGCTGGCAGGAAAGTAGAACTGTAGAAGCATGCTATATCTTGCTCTTGCTTATGTAGTGGTCAAAAACTCGTAACCTCTGGTAGATCGGTCTATGGCCAAAAAGGTTCCCCTGCTTTTTAAGGGTGAAGAAGGTGCTTTCTTCCCTCTTCCCGATAGTACTTGGTAGGAGACCTTTTTTTTGAGATGCTGCTAAGTAGTGCATCTTGACGTTCTTCTTTCTGATAAACTAAATAGCAAATCTGAAATGTCTCTGACAGAAAATGAAAAAGAAATAGAATAAGGACTCCATCAAAATAGAATAAGGATGATAGAGTGGAGTTGACATGAAATGAACTAATCAATTCTCGTTCTGGGCTAGTGATCCCATACGTTTCATTATGAGAAAGGAAAACTGGGTGATTCCAAAATGCTTCATCTAGTTTGCTTGCCTTCTTGAGTTCTTTGACCAAACAAAAGGAGGACAGCATACATTTAGTTGTCTGATATGAAGGATCATCCTTAAGCCTCCAGCAAATTGCAAGTTTCAATAAGTGTGTGCTATTGAAGTAGCTCATCTGAGAGTTTGGATCATGGTTAGGTCCAAGTTGTGAGAACTTGTAAAATTTGCTAATATTTTCGGTATTCCTAAGACCCACACGTGAAGTGGGAACCCTGTTTCCTCATTTGCATACATCATTTATTTCTATGTTGAGGATTCTTATGACTGACTCAACTCAAGAACGTTTACATAAATAAAATATCACCCTATGAGGACAAGTTTATGATTTTTGAGATTTAGAGTATATATTCTAAGTTATTTCGTAGAATATATGTTTCAGTTTCACTGAGTTGGGTGTTATCATTCTTTCATCTTCACTTATTATTTCTTCATGATGGCAGGGTTTTGATGTGAAACTCATTAATGTCAATAGGACATGTAAGGTTACTAAGGTAATGCAGCTATTGAATGGATTTTTCTTTCTTCTTAATGGACCTTGAATGAGCTATTTCACAAATTTTGGCTGAAATGTGATACAGGGGGGACAAGTTGTCAAGTATACTGCTTTGTTGGCTTGTGGGAACTATCACGGAGTTGTTGGTTTTGCAAAAGCAAAAGGTCCAGCTATTCCCATTGCCCTGCAAAAGGTACATGAGTCAGTTTATTGTTTGACCATGGCATTTAAAGCATGTGCTTCATTTTTGTCAATGCCTTGGCTGAATGATTCTGTATGAAAAAAGACTTCTTTTTATAAAAAAATTAAATTCTGCAGGCATATGAGAAATGCTTCCAGAACCTACATTATGTTGAACGGCATGAGGAACATACAATCTCACATGCAGTTCAAACAAACTACAAAAAGACCAAGGTACCAACTATTCTGATAACGGATTTTAGTTGTTTTCTTTTGATAATTTTTCTTTGCTCATACACGTAGAAAATCCATTGTGAATTTCTGCTTATGCCTTCTTAAAAAAAAGAATCTTGATTTTCTGTCTATAGAGGTAACGCTTCCATATTTTCGTTTTTTTTTTTTACTCTTTGGTCTTGAACCTTTGCTTACTTGCACCTCTATTCAGGTATATCTGTGGCCTGCTCCTACTCAAACAGGGATGAAAGCAGGTAGAACTGTCCAAACAATTTTGCATCTAGCGGGTTTCAGGAATGTGAAATCGAAGGTACTGTATCATAATTCTGATCAAGCGGGTCACATAATATTGAAATAGGTATTTATTTGGTGCCATTATTGTAACATCATACTTTGGCAGGTTGTTGGCTCAAGGAACCCACATAACACAGTTAAAGCTCTCTTCAAAGCTCTAAATGCGGTACGTCCATGTTTTGCTTGTGTATTGGTGCTACTTTCCCACTCTGCTCCCTCTCTTTGTTTTCTAAAATTTCACTTCTTCCTCATTATTTTTGGATTAGATTGAGACACCCAAGGATGTTGAAGAAAAGTTTGGGCGAACTGTTGTCGAATCATACTTACTGTAATAGGCATTCTCAACGTTTCTGTGGTGTTTCATGGCACCTTTTTCGTCATAGCGGGTAAGAACTCAAAGTTCAGCTAGTCTCATATTTTCCCATTTGTTTTTGTCCTCTTCGTACCACCATCCACACATTGAGATTCTTCTGATTCATCAGTGTAATAGTTGGAAAATAGTTATGTATATACATTTGTTCGATGACTATAAGTGTATCTAATCTTGATATATTCACTAATCTGGCATTTCAAGGTTTGAAATTTTGGGCTAATTAGCTGTTTCTCTTGTTTTGGCAGAGCATAAACCAAGGAGAGGTCGAAACCATGAGCCCATCAATGGATTGGCTATCCTTTTCATAAGCTAGTTTAACTTATTTCTTTTACCTTTCCTTTTGGTGATTTTATTCTTGGTTTGGTTGTTGTTGGTGTAGTAGTGTTACAAAATAGATGATGATCTCTAGTAGACCATTGTAGGATTTTTGTTTTTACTTTTCCTATTTCAGTTTCGATTAGTTCACAAGATTGAATAGTCAATTCTCCTTCGAACCTCGATTCGATTGTTCTCCAAGAATATTGAGCCGTGAAGATACTACATATATGTGGCCCGTTGTACTAATCGAATCATTCATTAAAGTTTGAATACGAAATAAAACCATTTTCCAATGATTTCTTGGACACTGATTGTAATGTGTGTGGAGTTTACCTTATGCGCACTCAAAACATCGCGACTATGAATGATGAATTTTAGCCGGGATTTTTTGAGCTCGACTTCTTAGATTTAAGATGACATTTGTATTTTAACAATATTATTGTTATGTAATATTATGAAAGAAGATTTAATGTAATGTGTTTGGAGTTTACCTTATGCGCACTCAAAACATAGCGACTATGAATGATGAATTTTAGCCGGGATTCTTTGAGCTCGACTTCTTAGATTTAAGATGACATGTGTATTTTAACAATATTATTGTTATGTAATATTATGAAAGAAGATTTAAGTAAAAATATATACGGCGCCTGATCTGAGACGTAAATCATTCGAGACACATTAACATCAATCAATTTATAATCATTTAAATATTAACTTAAATTCATTGAATCTTCATACGTTTTCTACTTCAAATTGATGACTATAATAAAAGGAAAATAAGATATTTTTGTTATTGACCTAACTAACTAATAGATAAATAAAAACATTACATATATTTTTTTTTCTGAAATTTGAATAAAAGATATCCTACTAAAACACTTTATCACTGAAGTGTTCAATTGGCACACAAACTTAGTTCAGCTATAAAAGTTTCAAATTGAATTAAGACAATACTCCACCGATATTCTCCCTATAGTTTTTTTTTTTTTTTTGCTTACAGTTTTTGGGAACTTTTTCATCCATTAGAACTAAACCCAGAACTCTAATGGAAGCTAATTCAAGAAGATTAATGGGTTTAGAGAAGAAGAAAAAAGTAGAAGAAGAATGGAACAATATTTACAACTCTAAACACCATCTATCTCGTGCTGATTTTCCTTCCCACTTCGTATTTGGTGTCGCCACTTCTGCTTATCAGGTTTTCTTCTATGCTTCTATATAGTTTCGAGTTTATCTGAATTCAATACTTATGTGAAGAAGTTTACTGAAACTGCAAGAAATAATACTTCTTTCATATCAATTTACGTGGTACTGTCTGACTTGACACAAGGCCATATCAATTTACGTGATACGGTTTGACTTGAAATAAGTCATATCAATTTACGTGATACTGTTTGACTTAACACAAGCCTGAAAAAAATTATGACTTTTGAAATTTATGATCTGAAATCAACCTTGGATATAATCATAGAAAAGTGACATTGTTTTGGTTACAAACTAAAAAGAGAAGGTGCTACATAAATTGCTGTAGTTTTTAAAAAATTGTATTCAAATATTTGTTTGGCCATTTTTTGGTACTTCCAATCATGAAACTTTGTAAAATGCATGTCGAAATAGAACTTCAAATATCAAAAATTAAAAATTTTAGAAACTTAAATTTTCAAGTTTTAAGCTTCTTCTTTAAAATCTATGACCAAATGAGAGCTTAATGCTAGAAATTTTAGAGGTTGGACCCATAAAACTTGAATCTTGGATTCGCCTATGCTCCTCTTATCATTTTTTTGGACTAATGTTTTGTTTTATCTCTCCTTTGTAATATTTCTTATTTTTTTGGGGAATTTTGGTATATGGCAAAAGGTTGAAGGTGGAAGCAAAGAGGGAGGAAAGGGTCCTAGCGTATGGGATTCCTTTTCACATACTCAAGGTAGTTAACTCTCTTTGCTTTTTGTTTTTTCTCCTTTTTCTGGTGGATGTTTTGTTGAAGTTTTTGTTTAGGCAAAATATGTGATGGAAGCACTGGGGATGTGACTGTAGATCAGTACCATCGCTACAAGGTACACTCTACTTCTCGTTATCATTATTATTACTCTCCTATTATCTTATTCTTCGATTTTTATTACTTGTTTCTTCCTTTGCTTTGGTTGTCGTATTATCTTTTGTTGCTAGTGTCCTTTACTCCATTATTTTCTGCATGGCTTTTTCTTCTTTTTACTATTGTATTTCCTTTTCTTACTGATTTTGATATGCTTTACTTGAGCTGATGGTCTATCGGAAACAACCTGTCTAACTTCATAAGGTAGAGGTAAGGCTGCGTACACACCACCCTCCTCAGACCTCACTTTTGGGATTACACGGAATATGTTGTATTTTTTGTCAATTTTATTACTTAATAAAGAATATAATTTGGAATTGGGATTGGAAAATTTTACTTTCTTTTGGGCCTTATGTTTGCCGTGGTGTCCAAAAAGATAAATACCTTGTGTTTTACTATTGCTTTTGTTGATATACTTTGTTCTTATTCATGGCAGAGTGATTTTTCCTTTTTTTTTTTGGTTTAATTTTGTTCTTTTAAAATACAGGAAGATATTGATCTCATATCCAAGCTGGGATTTAAGGCTTATCGTTTTTCAATATCGTGGAGTCGCATCTTTCCTGGTATGAAGCTTTTCATTGTGTGTTTGATAATGGTGGTTTGCGAGTCAGCTGTGCAAAGTTTCAGTCACTTGATTGCAAGTTTCAGAAAGCCTTTTTCTTTTCTTTCTTAAATTTTATGTTCAGTCGAACAGTGCAAATTTCGTGCTTTTTAATTTTTGGTTGTGAGCGATCTCTGTTAATATCAACTGCTCTCCCAAGTAAACACAGCTTTAAAGAATAGCCTTTTTTCTTTGATTGCTTTTTGGTGCACCTGAATATTCCGACTTGTATAGAGGATTGAATGGCTTTTGTAGAGAATCATGTTCTGATGTAGTTTCTCTGCTCTTTGGTATACGTCTTGTATATGGTAATTTTTCTTTCCACTGCTATTAATATTTTTACCTTATGATTTTATTTTTTTGCAAGTTAGTGCACTTCAATTTTGTGCTAAATATGTGCTATCCCATCTTTTAGTTTACTTCAATTTAACATACCTACATTTAGCCACTACATGACCTTAATGACTGGCTCCAACTCGGATCTTATGTTTGTAGTTAGCGGTTCCTTAGCCACTGCAATATGTTTCAGATTTTTATAGGGTTTCTTCGCCTATGTACAGATGGTTTGGGTACCAAAATCAACCATGAAGGCATAAAGTACTACAATGATATTATTGATGCACTACTTGAGAGGGGTAAGATGTTATCCGTTCATTCTTCATGTTAAAGCAATAATACGTAGCCTTTGGTTTTATGTACAAAAATCTGCCAGCTGCTTCTTCTCTGTAAACATAACAATGAAGTGAAGGTTTTATACTGATTAAGCATTTCCTTTTTTTGTTCTTCAATGATGAATTTCTGCCATGTTTTTCCAGGCATTGAGCCTTGTATAACATTGTATCATTGGGATCTCCCTTTGAATCTTGAGGAATCTTGTGGAGGCTGGTTGGATGAACAAACTGTGTAAGCTCCAATCCTTCAATTTTTCTCTGTTAATCAACACGTTACAGATTTTTTTGGTGCTTATAATAGAGTGTGTGGTGCATATGGAATTCTAAGTATGTATCATAACTTTTTGAGCACGATTTTTGGTATTATTATATCCGATGGGACACTAATGTCTCGGTTTGCTGAAAATGTTGTAAAGTGAATGTCCGGTAATGCGATTTTAAACCATGTTCTGGATAAAGTGTAGCATTCATGGGTTCTCTACGTCTGATTGTGCCTTTTGGTTTAATTGACCTATGTTAGTTATAGGTTTCTGAAGTGATATTAAATGTTGAGATTTCTTTCTGAAGAAGGCAGGCTTTTTCATTTTCATTTAAGCTGCAATTAAAGCTTGTTTATCCATGTAACTTGTGGAATACTTTGTCGATAATTACCTCCTAACAATCAACTTGGATTTTTGCGGCAAATATATAGAAAATATTTTGCCATCTATGCAGAGGCTTGCTTTGGTAGCTTTGGCAATAAAGTGAAGAGGTGGATTACAATTAATGAACCTCTTCAGACTGCTGTAAATGGATATTGTACTGGTATACATGCCCCTGGAAGAAGTGAAAGTTCTTCTACTGAACCATTCTTGGTAGCACACAATCAGTTGTTGGCACATGCCGAAGCTGTTTCCATTTATAGGAATAAATTTAAGGTAGCTCTTACAGTTTGAGAATTACTCTTGTTTCTTTAAAAACGTTGATGGAAATTCTTCCAGTCAGAGTTATCTCTCACTGATATTTGGGCTTTAACTGTTGTAGTTAAAGTTTCTGTGATTACGTTCTTTTCTACGTTATTCTGTCCTGACTTATGCTCCCTCAGAAGTTGGGATGGAACTTTTCTGCTTTGTCCATTGGTGATAATATTGGCGGTTCTATATTTACAGGATGAGCAAGGAGGGGAAATAGGCCTGGTGGTGGATTGTGAATGGCCTGAGCCTTTATCGGATAATTTAGAGGACAAAGCTGCTGCAACAAGGCGCCTTGATTTTCAGCTTGGATGGTACTTGTTATATCTGTGTTAGTCAGCCAAGAGTTCATGTTGTAAGCAGTGGCAGAACTAGGATTATTTAACAAATAGTATATATACATAACAAAATTTTCTTAATTACCTATAGAGGATAATTTTTCAATAAGGGGTGACACCCATTGGATACATGTGGCTCCGCCATTGGTTATAAGGGAGGGTAACTTAAAGCAGAATGACCCAACAACATGCTATAAGCCCAATCGGTCATAAAAAATGTATCTCAGTGATGGTCCAGATATCGGATAGAATAGGTAGTACATATTGAACGAAGAGAGATACCTATAATCTCATCACCCTGAAAGCTATTGTCTGTTGCATGAGGCGCTAAACACTAATGACTTGGTTAACAATAATTATTTTGTTAAGGAGGTCCTATTAATAAAGAATTGTGATTGATTGTTTAAGAGAGAATGTATTTGAGTCTTCATCTTTCATCTTAAGTCGAGCAGCTGAAGGCCTGACATATTTCACTTACTTACCAAGAAAATTACCCCAAAAAGGCCTAACATATTTCCCTTAGACTGAAAAATTTGATCACGAGCCACATTAATCTGTTTATCATCATTTTAGTGAATCATTTAGTTGGGGAAATAAATTTTTTGCTTTAAATCTATG